GAAGATGGAGGGGGAAGGACGAGAATATGGGGGAGGGGGGGGGTGTGATATGAGTGATAAGCTTTCTATTTGTTTAGAAATGTTTTAATATTTGATCAGTTAAAGGGGCATTATTAGAAGCTGTTCCTGCAGACTGATTCATCTTCTGTTCACGTTTGAATGTTTGTCGCGTCTCTCAAAATGTCTCCTCCTGTCATCAGGAAGAGGAATAGGATTACTTTGTCAAAGGAAATAATGAGATTTGAGGAGTAGATCAAGAGTAGTGTTTTCTACTCACCAAGTTTCATTAAAAGTAGAAACAACTCTGTTGGAAGGGGATTCATATCATCGGAAATCTCTTAAAATTTTTCAGGAGAGAGAAAAAAACGACTGATTCATTGTTTTAACAATTGTATGTTCATTTATTGTGAATTCTCTTCCTTTTTTTTTCAACCTTTAGAATAATAATAATAATAATAATAATAATAATAATAATTTAATAAATTGCTTTTATAGCGCATTTCCACAAAGAAATGCTCAATGCGCTGTACAATAATACAAAGAACATATGCAGGGCACAGCTTCTATACTATAGTAATCCTCTTTCTCTCTCTCTCTCTCACTTTTTCTCTGGCTCTGTCTGTCTCTGTCTCTCTCTATCTTTCTCTTCCTCACTCTCTCTCTATCTCTCTCTCTCTCTGTCTTCAGTACATTCTTAATCTTAGTAAAGACAATCCCACAAAACTTACCCAGACACCCTCGTACACATTGATGACATCTCACAGTCATAAATTGTCACAGAACAGAACAGCATGAATAAATGATACTGAGAGAACATAATAGATACTGAGAGGACACAATAATATTTGTATTGGGAATGTCGGAATTTGAATATCGACAAAATGTTGCTTTGGCACTTGAAACCGACACACAGATCAAGTAACTGCACTTGTAAAACTTCAAAATTTTTAGCTAAATACATTTTGCACCTCTGGGTCGGGGATATACTGTAATGCAATGAATGGTGGTATTGTGTATGCATTTGGAGCTGATATCATCATGCGTTTTGGTTTTGACTTTTTTTGTTTTGTTTTACTCCCCAGATATGGGCATCGATGAGCCAGATGCTGCTAGTTACGGGGAGGCTTGGGACAGCGAAATGGCGGGTCTGTTGAAGGGAGTGAGACATGATATCCTCAGAATCGTCTCCTTTTCCGAAGAACAACTGCAGGTTTGTTCTCTTGCCAGAATTGACGTAACTGAACCCTAGAGCTGGGCGAAGAGTCGATTCCGGAACCGATTCCCGCGATTAATACTAAGGAAGTTAAGTTCCGTCTCCTTTTTACGTAGACCAACGGTTGCCAGTTATTTTTATCATTAAAATCTTCTTTTTGAAAAAGAATTTATTATTGAAAAAAAAAAAAGAAGTTGATGCTTCGTAGTGTTCCGAAATCAAGGTTATCCTAAATCCTGAAAATGTTCGGCACCAACCGGGTAACCATGGGGGAAAAAAATCCCATCATTAGAATGTAAGTAATTGGGTTCGGAGTCGATTCCTACGATTCCTAGCTTTCAATAATCGGGAACCTAGCCGCCCAGCACTACTGAACCCCTTTGAGCCCTGACCTCCTGATGCTACCTCACCCCTCTGCCCTTAGCTCCTGAGCGATATATTACTAACATTCATATGTCTTTCCCTCGTCGTTTTATGCAAGAAAAATTGTGAAATTATGCAAACCAAACCCGAAAATGTGAAATTATGCGATTCTGTTAATTCATGGGTCTCAACTCAGAAATTTTAAAAAAGGAGGAACTTTCCTGGTGATCGCGACAGAATTTATGCAAAAAAAACTCTGAAATTATGCAAACTGAGCCCAAAACAGTGAAATTCTGTTAATTTTAACAAAGAATGATAAAGGAAAATAATATGAAATTATGCAAAAAAATGATCAAATTTTGCTAAATTATGCGGGGTGCATAAAACCACGGGGACAGAAGTATGGTGAAATTAGCGAGAAAATGGCTGCCAAAGTTTGGTGATTCCCATAGCTTGAGAGTCCTTGGAAACTGCAAATTTACATGTTTTGTGCCTTGTATCAACATTTTTCAGTAAAATCCATAAATAAATGTGTTTCTCTTATGTACATATAAGGTTGTGGTTCAACAAAAGTAAATTCGAAAAAAAAAAATTATTGTCCAATGGCCATAAAAATGCAGTTTTTAAAAATTGTATAATTTTGACGAGCGCCTGACTTCACCGTGAATCCTACATGTGTCACGATGCGGTGGAATCAGACTAAGCCCAGGCACGAAATTTTTTACAGGAGAGAGAAAATCTGTTTCCTGTTTTTAACAACTATGGCTACATCATGCATTTTTCTCGCTTTTTACATAATTTAGAATTTGCATTTTTGACGAAATATTTTTTTAGTACATGCAACAGAAACCATGGGTTAAGAAACTGCAATTAATTTAAAAATTCGGAATTTTTGGCTTAGCACATTTCAACTTAACAGTTGGCTGACATCAATCAATATACTTCTCCAAATTTTTGTTTTGCAGAAAATTGTCGACTGTGACACTGCCCTGCTGTCTCGGTACGTCGGGGCCAACGAGCGGTTCACGGAAAGCTTGAAAGAGGGCTGCCAACGCCACCTGGACGAGCGCTACCGCACGTCGGAGATCATGAACATTCTGGAACAGCTTGAAAAGTCACCGCAAGCTTGGAGTTTGGCAGGGGGCGACAGGGGTGATTCAAATTCAAGGAAGAGAAGGCACGATGACAGTAATGGCAGTTGTAATTAAATTCCTGTAGGTAGGGGCCGTTCAAATATAATCTTACGCCTGGGAGGGG